AGAAGAGAATGTTCCCTTATCCATACACCGTTCGAAGAATCGGGTGTATGTGCCAGCTGAGATGTCCGCCGATTCTTTAGGAATTCTAGGGTGTATTTTGTCGGTCTCCATAGAGCAGTAGGGGTTAAGGTTGCGTAGTTTTTCTTGACGTCTAACTGTGAGAAAGTAACACAGCTGAGTGTGGAGTCTAGTGAAAATGGTTGTAGTATCGAATGGATAGTGATGGGAGGGGAAGTAAAGGCTTTCTGGTAGTGCTTTTGAAATTCGCCTGCATTCTGTGAAGGGGTAGTTACTTCTGTCCCGTCTGGTAACTTGAGGGCAGAGAGGAGTGAGATGTGCCACGCACTCGACGGATATACTTGTAGACGAAAGGTCTGTTCTTTTGAGCCCGTTCAAGTATAGTTCTTCGAGTGCGCAGTTTGTATTCTCTAATAGTTGAGTGGCAGATGATCCTGAGCCTTTTAGAGGCTAGTCCATCAGCTTCAAGTCCCGTTTGCTTGTACCTTGCAAACAATCGAAACCGCTCATCTAAAAGTCTGCGGATGGGACGAGGGAGAGGTGGTTTGGAGCTACAGCGTGAGAGAACACGGGGGACTTACCATTCGTCAGCTGAAGTGACGATTTATTTGATATGTTCTGTGAGGTTGTCTACGGACAGGTCCAGGGGGAGGCTGTTAAATGGTGCCCTAAGATACTCTCTTAAGGTACGGAAGTTGGTACGCTTGAAGGATTTGACCATTAGTGAACCCTTCATTTTGGTGTTCCACCCCGTAATGTAGTCAAACAGCGGGACTACGTGGTCACTCTTTCCGAGAGGTGGAAGGTGATTTACCACGTCTATCTGGTTGTCTTCATTCGTTATAATCAAATCTAACGATCAAGTAGCCCGGCTCGGACGGAACCTCGTAGGTTGACCTACGTGTTGAGTCCAGGAGCCTTCTGATACTAGATCGATAAGAGGACGACCAAAGGAATGGTCCGAAGAGTAAGCTCTTAGCCAATCATGACCCGAATCATTGAAGTCACCAGTAATTAGAAGGTTGGTGAAAGGTTGACTGCCGCTTATTGACCTTAATTGATCACTGAATAGTTGGCTTTCGATGTGGAAGCTCTGCGGGAGACGTTACATTGCTTCAAGTAGGAGTATGACTAACCTTCAGGGTTTGAGTTTAACCCATAAAGTATCTATTAGGTGTATTGGGTTGACTGGAATAAGAAAGGGAGGAGGGAGAGTGCAAACCAAAATCAGCTATGGCAACACCTGCTCGGCCCCGGGTTGAGTCTGATCTTATCAATGTATAATCGGGAATGAAGATTTCCATGTCTGAAACATTGTCGTTGAGCCAGGTTTCGGTAAGGGTGATAACATGGGAATGGTGTTCCATGGTGAGTTGCTTTAATTCTAGAATTTTGTTTGGGAGGCTAAGACAGTCGCTGGAAATGCATTTCAGTATGCGTCTATCAACGTTCTTAGGTTTGGTATGGAGCGATCAGAAGAGAAATTAGTGGTGGTGGATGTACGAGTTAAGTGTACGTTGGTCGGTGGTTATCTTGGGAAGGTATTTCACCATCGGAGGAGCTATCATTATGAGTCTCTGTGGTGGTCGGCCTGTCGCCCCCTCCGTCCAGAAAACTGCTTCGGTGTTGCAGTTATTGGGCTGTGAGGGTACACCGCAAGATCAACCGTTCAATGGGTGGAGGGCTGGTCTTTTATCAGCCTCCGGCCGCTTGTTAATGGGTGTGTTTAAATGCACCTGGTTGCGAGTGGGAGGATCCCTGAGGAGCCCACTTTTAGGGTTAGGAGGGCTAATGTGCAGACGGGGTACGGGTTTAATAAGCAATTTGCTTTTCAGCTTCTTCTGTCTCTTTTCCCAGATGTTTCGATTAGAGTCCGGTCATGTTCTATGAGACCGTTGCTCGCAGAGCTTGCCTTCATTGATCTAAGGCACACCAAAGTCTTGTCTAAGTGTAAGGTAACCGGTTGTTCTTCCTGATTCATACCGAGTTATTGAGAAACACGGAAGAATAGAGATCGGATCGCTGTAACAGGTCGTGATATTGCATCCTCCGTCCAGTGTTTTGGTTATCGGTACATATTTACGAAATTTCGTATCCAATAACCACCAATGTTGTTTTCCTAGATTTATATCTTTGTAATTAATTTATTTTTAAAAAATATTTTCCGTTTTGCTCGATTTGGGTATTTTTACGAAGTTACTGTTACGGTTCTATTTTTGGCTTTGTTTAGTCTGCTATATCCAAATAATGGCGGAATCAAAGAAAATCATATCTATTAAGCAGCACCCGGTAGTCCTGAATGCGGTCAATTTCACTTGTTCGCCTTTAAATCATAAAAATCCCTCCGTGTGAATTTCGGCAGTCGAATCCCATTTTACGACCCGAGGCATCACTTAGTTTGATTCGTAATTTCATCACGTATTACAAGCTTTACCTTCAGATGTTGCAGAACTAGTGTTTGACCTCATAAATCCTGTCTCAGAGTAGCGTCCTAACGAGACTTTCCGGGACGCCATCTTAACTGGTACCGGCTTATCCACCCAAGAAAAAATCAAGAACGTAGTCCAGGGAATGAC